TTTTTTCCCTTACAAATGTTACTGCTTGTTTGGTTGATCTGTAATACAATACAGAGAATGTTCTTTGCTGTAATAATTCTGAAGACATTGTTTCTCTGTATTGAGGTCCAGTGTCCAAATGTTTCTTGCACTCTAGAATACATAAACCTTTTTGTTCTAATTTAATAAATGTATCATCTGAATGAAAGTGTATTATGTCTCTGTTGGAGAGCACCTCCGTTTGCTTATCTGTAGACCAATACAGAATTCATGTATCGGTTACGTTTGCTAAATGTAAATGTGATCTTCCAGTGGGACTGAATGCTCAGAAGTGTTTTAAGCATCTACATCTAGGTGTTTGCCTTTCTTTAACACTTCCAGGTCTGGAGGACAGGCTGAGGGGGTAGTGGTGCCCTGGGAAAAGGTCAGAAATAAAACTCATGTAATGTTTCAGCTACAAGACGAAACTGGCTTTACCTACTAGTTCTTAATTTATTGAGGAATATTAAGGATTTGATTTATCTTCTTAAAATTCTGTCCTTATCTAGAAGGCTGAGGTCCTTTTTCATGTTCAGCAGCATTGCCGTGCTCAGTGAGAATTAACGAGCTGCTCGTGGTGCTTTCCTGCAGCTCCTGAGTGGCAGTGTCTATCCTGATGCATGTTCTAAAGCTTACCACTGGCTTTCACTTTGCTCCAGCATACTGTGAGCGTAGCAGAAATGCGAGTCACAGCTTGAAGCAGTGATTGAGCACCTGGTGGGAAGGCGGGGCCAATTTGGGGGAGCTCAGCTGTGTGCAATGTGCCTGAGTGACCAGAAGGGTGAAGCCAGGATCTGCCCCTTCCCTGACCTCATTTAAGGGTTGGCAGTGGAGGCAAGGGGATCTTCTGGGGTTCCCTGAGTACCTGAAGCCTTCTGAAGGTAAGCAGTGCCCCACTTGGTGCAGCCTGGGACTTTGCTTCTCTGCTATTATTGCTGTGCTTTCCATCATGTTACAGAGGGCAAGTGAGAATTAATTTACGTAAACAAATGTTGGCTTTCTTATGATGGCTGAAGTATCTGCTTAGCATTTCATTGCTTATTAGTGTTCGCATTTCAATGCTGATTACCCAGCGATGGTCTTTGGGAACGTAATGAGAAGTTGGAGTATTTTGAATGATTAAGACATTTAAGTACATCAGTGGAAACAGAACCTATGGGAAGAAACACAAAATTTTCTTTAAGTAGGAGAAATGAGAAGCCACAGTTGCAATATTCTGTGTTGCACTTTTAAGTTGAGTGGGTTTCAACTTTCTTAGGTCTTTTGTAAGCTTGCTCAGAAACTCAGGTTGGACTGTTTTCATACTACAGTTTGTATACATGAGAAGCATCCTGCCTATTCATGGAATTCTTTTGTAAGGAAAAACTGTATTTAGTTGTGTATCATAACATTTGAAGTAAAAGCTGCATATAAATTAAGAAAGTGAAGTAGTGGATGCAAGCAGATGGATTTCAATCTTTGCTACATCCATGTGGGGAGAACTATGAAAACACTGCTCTGTGGGCTATTTGAAGAGTTCATTTAGAACAGATCTTCAAAAAGATTCAGTACTGATCTGGAGTATGAAGCAGAGCGTGAGCAACATCTGTACTTTTAGTACATTTGACATTGTAAGTGAATGAGGAATGTTTTAAAGTTTTTTCCAGTTCAAAGTTCAGTGTCCTCTTCCACTCACAATGCTGTTACCTTCCACACCTGCACTCTCCATCTCTTTCCAGATTGGCTTCAGTTATTTGGCGCCGTCATGTTTCCATTCCCTTAAAATACATAATTTATTAATAATCAGCTTAATGTTGTAGTATTTCTTCAGACTCACCTCAGAAAAAGGAATTATTTTGTAAGATAGTTTTTATTGCATTTTCAATGAAGTGTGAATTAGCACATTAACGAGCTTGCCTGTTACCACTGATTTTATTCACTTACAAGTAAACTGGCAACAACTTGAGCTTGGTTTCAAGGCTGTGGTAACCAAGAGTCCTGAAGATACTTAATAGAGCATCAAGCAGATCATCTTGGAAATCAGTGTTTGGGCAATTAAAAGCTCAGGTAGCTGGGAATGGTATCAGTTCTGATATCAGCAGGGATGTTTTCACTGAGTTGGGTGGCTTAAGTCCTCATATGGTTAAGTATTGTAGCATGAGAGGCTGTGGGCTGTTGTGTTTTCAGGTGTCTTTTGTTCGTCAGCTGAATTTATTGATCGGTAGTTAACAGCACATAAGCTTTAAGAAGCAGCTAAATGCTTCCTGGCAGCTTCAGGGCTCACATCCACGTGATACTGAATCTTGGGCCAGGGCTCTGCCTTCACAGTGAGTGTTTTGGAAGGATAAAACATGATCTGTGTCTTATTTAAATACTGTGGAAGTGGTAAAATACCTTGAAAAGGGCTCAGGCCATAGAACTACTCTGCAGGATCCTGTTTGAAGGTGATCCATTACCATGATCTTCAGTGGAGGAAATCAAAGTGAAAGCAGCTGGGAGAGCTTAATTATTTCCATGTGGTGCTGTTGTCAGCTGTTGGCAAACTGTGTGTCCATAAAGGCTGTTGTGGCTGTGTGTAAGTGGCCTCAAATCTGCTGTGCTTTGCTGGATGCTAGAATGCAGTACTTGCAGTTTTTAATTGTTTGTATGTTCTAAATTAAGATGTTTCTATGCTGTGAAGTTGGGAGGGGCTTGAGAAGAGGCAAGGAAACTTATGGAAAAAATAAATCTCAATCTCTAATTTCTCTGTATGGGAAAAGGCAGGAGTTTATTATTTATTATTCCTTTCTGCAGGAAAGGAATAAATGAAAATTGATTCAAGGTTCATAATATTTTTTTAAGACCTGAAACTATGACTTTTTTTTTTTATTTTTACAAAAATAATGGATAAAATTGTGTAATTTGTTCTGTAAAGTTTTGCGTAGTTTGAGACCAACTCTACATGCTTTTAAATCCCAAGATCACCAAACTGTCACAGCTCTGTATGATGCTCATAGCCCTGGCAAGCACTTTTGCACATACCTCCTATTTCACAGAACTACAGTAAGTCTATTTCTGTAAGCTACTGGGGCAATATTTGGAGACTGGTAAGCCAAATGAATGGCTTATCCTGCCAGCAACATAACCTTGAAGCTTGAGAAAAGAAAGTGTGAGAACAAGAAATATGAAAGTGAATGTATCAGTAGCAATGCTCTGGTATAACTTGAGCTCCCTCTTTGAGCGCATGTGTTCTGTGTAGAGGTAAAATTAACAATGCAGGAACTCCATGTGTCACTGGGAGACAAGTAGGGGACTTGTAGGAATACAGCAAACTCGTTACACGCAGTGGTATTGTACTATGAGCATGCATGTGCTGCCAGTCGTCAACAAGCAAGGCAGGTGGATGGAACTCCATTGTTTTTATTGTTAAAAAGCATTGAAATATTTCCTTAAATCACTGCTTGGAGAGTCTGCTTCAAAAGAAGAGGAAGAGGAAAAATGGCAGTGAAATGTGGTCAGGGAAGGGATGTTTGGTGTATGTCTTTGTTTTTAAAGGGAAATCAATTCTTGTGCCTTTTTTTCTCTGAAGCCCTGAGCAGAAGCAAATCCAGGGGACTTGTGCTTACAAGTAAGTAGAGTTCAGGAGACACACGGAGACTTCATGGAACAAATGCTGTACTGCTACTGCAAGTCCAGGGCATGTCTAAATAAAACCAGAAAACCAAATTAACTAATCATGTACTAATCATGTATGCTTACTCTGGGCTTTCCAAAATGCAAACTATCAACAGTAGAAGACAGAAGACTGGGAATAGCCTAAGAGACTAGAAATAGTTTCAAAAGATTGGGTGAAAGTAGTTGCACTGTAAACTGAGAAGCAACGGCTCCAGTTTATTTTGGTGAATGAAGAACAGTAAGTCCCTATTGCTCAATTTTTCCTGTAATCCCAAGAAAAATTTGAAAAAATTGCATGATCTAGCAATATCAGATAAGGAGGAATTTCCCTCTGGTGGGTGGTGATGCTTTGTAAAGCTACCTGTCCACAGCAGAACTAAGGAGGTAGTTACTGTGTGTCAGTCGTCTTTAGAGAAGAAAACGACCGGTAGAGGGCAGCTTAAGGCTTAAACTGGAATATACTGGAGTATATAATGTGTTAATATGGCACTAAAGTTAGTTCAGGAGATCCAGCCCAGAAAAAGTTAAGGACAGTTTGTAGTTGGTTAGACAGTTAGTTAGTAAGGACAGCTTGTAGTTAGTGAGCATAGCACTAAATGCTCAAGAGTCCAGGGATTAGGGAGCTGGGGAGGAAGGAGGAAATGCACACATCCCACTGGCTTCAGTACAAACCCAAAGGCAACATTGAAAGCATTTCAGATTTTGTTTGTGTTACTGTTTTTTTGTTTTGTTTGTTTATTTTTCAGCCTGGACTGGGACCTGTCAGCTCTGCAGGCACCAGTTTACTCAGCTCAGGTTAATATTGCTATCTCAGCATTGTGATGCCAGGCCTCAAACAGCTGGTGAATGTGAGTGCCTCTTACACAGTGAGCCCTCATGCAGCTGAGAGCGCTGATCGCTTACCCAAGTACAGTGCTAGATCAAAACCCTCTCTGTTCTGGGTGCTGTGCCCAAAGTGCTGAATGCTGTGGAAGCCAGAAATGTGGAAGCTGCACTGAAGTTGGCTGAGTGCTTCACATACTGGGCACTCATCAGGACTGACGGGCTGTGTAATTGTAGCAATACCTGGTGTTCAGGTCAGAGTGGTGAATTTATGGCACTGATGGTGCCCAGCCTGTCTGGATTCAGCCTTTGTTCTTGACAAGAATGTGAATCAATGGATCAGAGATGGTGCAGGAAGTGCACCACTGTCCTAGCTAGCAATCCTACCTGCAGACCTACGGCAGGCCTGGCAAAGTGTAGCTGTGATGCGGAATTCAACAGTAAAACATTTTTTAAGGAAAAAAAAACAAAAACTCTGTCATTAAACTTCCCATTACTTAGAAAGTGAAAACAGTATCAGTCACTGAAACTGGAAAATGCTGAAAGTTTTATTGATCACATAAGAGACAAGATGAACAGGGAAACAGTCTCTTCCCTGTCACCGAGTGATGTCTTTTAAGAGCATTATATCCATACAAATGCTATGCAATAAAACTTTCTCTAGTCATAAGAGTTGAGTGCAATGTAGCTACAATGTTTCCTAGTTTTGTTTTTGGAGCCATTACAACTTTTCCCAAAACGCTGTTTTTGTGATTGTGCTGGTACATATTGACATATTTGCATAATGTACAGAAAGTTATTTCACATGGTTGCTGCTTTTTTACCTTGAAAACTGTATCACTTAAATAAAATATTATACTTAAGGGTTCTTTGGCTTTTATAAGCAAGAAAAAAGAAAAGGCGATGACAAACAAATATCAGTTAAAGAAGGAGCACAAGTTATCTTGAGGAAGATATGGTTCCAGCTTTCCTAGGGCCTATTTTTGTTGTTTTTGCAATGATCATGTCTGTTTTTGGCTGATTTTTGACTGGTAATCGTCTGCTTCAAGGCTTTGTGAGTTGCATCCGTTCATACACTGGCATTGATCCACATAGACGTAGCTATAGTTTATGCTTGTTCCATTTTGGCAATTCAGGATCACATCTCTTCTGTGGCTGCTGAGCTCTTGGCAGCAACTACAGTTATGTTGCATCTGGTTTGCTTTAAGAGAATACCTGCGTTCCGACAGAAAAAGAAGACTTTCTCATTAAACATCAACAAATAGGAGCATTGTGTGAATATGATTTTAATATAAGAAGAGTGAAACCTCTTCTTGCTTCATCTGAGTCTGATTCTATTCATGAGACTCATACACACATTACTTTTGCTGTTGTTCTATGACCATTTAATATAAACTCAATAGAAACAAAGCTGAGGAGATTTCAACTTACGTGGAGGAGCCAGGACAAGTCCCTTCGCAATATCCCAACTCAACAGCTTCAGGAGATTTACAGTCTTCGTATTGGATTACAGTTTTTGTGCTGTAAGCTTTGCAGTTAGTAGCTTCAAAAGAATAGGAAAAAAAGATAAACATGCTTCAAATCTCTAGTTCAGAACTGAACTCTAAAACAATTTTGAAGTGCATGATGGCAATGGTGATGAGGAGACAGTTGGACTAGATGATCTTATAGGTCATTTCCAACTTTGTGATTCTATGATTCTATGTCTCATTACTGAGACTATGTACAATAGGCAACAGTAGATGCTACTGTATACTACAGCTGGAGATTTCAAGTGTTTTTTTTTTATCTTGGCTGTACAGTGTGTTTGGAAGATATAAGCTGAGGATTGAGCGTGAGGGTTTGTTTTGTGCTACTCACGGTCCAGGAAATTCACCATTGCTTCAAAAGGAAAAAGTATAGAAAGGGTTACTGAAAAGTGAAAGCTAGGTCAGTGAAGAATCTTTCCTTCCACTCAGATACAGATAGAAGTTTAATATAATTACCTGTAAGAGGAAAGCACTTGCTTGGTATTACTTACGTTTACATATCTTGCAGCAGCCATCAGGAGTAGTCTCTGCTTCATCCTTTGCAGAAATAAAGAAGGATACGTATTATAACACGGATGACAATACCGAGCGTGTTAACAAGTTGGCATTGCTAACGCTCAGCTGAAGGCTTCTCTGTGATGAACACTGAATGAAACTGTGGATGTCTTGCTGGCTGATTCATCGCAACAGAAATCTTGAATCACTGTAAGCTCGTGTAAAAATACCAAGCTTCACTTTGATACTGCTGTTACAGCAATGTTACTTTCATCCTTAAAACATTTCTGCAACTTCAATGGAAATAACTTGTTGCATTCTTCCTGACTCTCTCACCCCCTTGCTCTTCTACACTACATTGAGTAAAAGCTGGAGCGATGAAAACTTACGGGATCGCACTCCAGTGGACCGTAGTCGGGACATACTCGTTTCGTTTGAACTGCAACGTATTGATCTTCAATTATTTCACATTTGTAGTGGCTGCACAGATCAAGTGGCAGAATCTTACCAACCTAAGATTTTAAGGGAAGAAAAAAATTATTTTTTTTCCATTGTAATCAGACACTGTATGATTACTTCAAAAATGTTTAAGTTCTCACACCTCAAAGATTTTTAGATGAATTTGAGTTCTTTGCCAAATGGGAGAAGCCTAATTTTTGTGAACTATGGCTGTCCTGAAAGTTCATATCGTAGATCTTGGGGCCAGATTCTTTCCAGGGGCATGCAGCAGTAGAATAGGGGGCAATGGGCACAAACTGGCACACAGGAAGTTCCATACGTGGAATTCCATATGGAGGTATTCAGGAATTTCCAAGTAAGTCTTCAGAGACTTAAGTTTTACTCTGTATTAGTGTTTTCAGAGTACTTTCAGTGTTAAATAAATTCTGACTGGGAAGGGATATATTGGCTGGTGAGAGAAGGAAAAGATTACTTACTTCGAGCAGAACAGTCTCGTTATTTAGATGAATTATGCAAGATGATACTTCACACTTCCCACAGCACTCTCCATCCTCAATCTTATATTGGTGACCCTACTCACAAGAGATGAAAGAGAAAGTGTGTTGAGTTGATGATGGACGGTTCTGGTCTTACGACAGTACTACTGTTTGAAGGTTGATAGGGCATCCCATTGAATCTCAACTCACCAGTGGACAAGATGTTTCACATTTAAGTGCTTCGCACTTCACAATGTTTTTCCCTTTCTCAGAAGAGCAGGTACAATTCTTACATGAATCTATTACAAATGTTCCACTCTGAAAAATTGGAAAGAAAAAATAACATCTGTTCATGAAGTGTCTTTATAACACACAGGTGAAGGTGGGAGACGTGCTGTATACTATTAAGTTTTCTGAAGTGCAATTAAGCAAAAAATCTGGCTTTATTTTTGAAGGTTCGTAGGGTTATTTCAAACATTTGAGCTTTAACAATACATCAGCTTCTTTGGAAAAAAAAAAAATACTGAATTCCACAAATAGAAGAAAGAAACTGCTAAAAATGATGCACTCTTGTTTTAAGCTTCTTGAGGAACAGAGGTTAGGGTTGTAAATTGACATGGATTGGGAAAAGAATTTTCCAAAGGGCTTTTGTGGTAGAAAGGGTTTACATTTAATTTCTAGTAAAATGCCACTGCTCACCTCATATATTTTACCATTAATCTCACAGGTGTTTGAACGTTGCCCTGAAAAACAACCAAAATAAAAATCAGCAAACTCAAACTGTGGAAATACATAAGAAGTTAAGATGTTACCAACATTTGTTAATAGCATAGAGATTATGGAAAATTTGAATTCAAGCTCAAACCAGTTAAAAAACATCCATAGCTGGATGTTAAAGAATCTATCTTTTAATTGGCCAGAAGAGTTGAGTAGAAATGGCACCAAACTTGAGCTAAACACAAAAAAATTCCTTTCTTGCCCTTTCCATATTGGTTCTTTTCAAATAAAACAGAGTTGTATTCTGTTTGAACACTTGAAGACCAGTAGCCTTCAAAAATGCCTTTGTATATTGATACCTTATGACTTCTCAGAATGGAACTTGGATGTGAGATCAACTGGAAAAGTGGTATTTTTTACTGAAGTAATACAGTTTGATAACATGCCAGATTCCATTTGTGGCTTTCACAGCATTACTTCAGACTTCGTAGTTTCTCTTGATTTTCCTCTTTCAGGCTTATTTGTAGCTAGTTTTCTTTTTGATTCTTTTATTTAAAAAAGTAAGTATATAAATAAACATATGGATTATAGATTTTATTAATGTTCTACAATACTGTAAGAGTAATTATTATTTTTCGTACATCAGCAATTCAGTTTCTAATTATGATTTACTTTGTTCCTTCATATTACCTGCTTTTCTAGTGAACTCTGAAGATTTCTGCTGCCTCACTGTTATGTTTACGTATCTTTGGTTAGCTGTAGTTACATGAATGTTAATGAACTTGAAGTACTTGAACTATCCTGTTCTCTAAGCAGATATTAAGAATAATGTTTTTAGCTGAACTCGTATTGCCTATTTAGCTAGAAATTGATGTGCATTCAATAAGTGAGAACAATTTAAAGAAGGTTTTGCTGTTACCACGATGGATGTAGGATCTGCCTAGATACTAACAGAAGCACAGTGTAGCCTGGTGCATACGTTGGTATTTTTAGTACTTACGGCATTCAAGTTGAGGACAGCACGGGTCTGTTACTGGTACTACAGGTAAGGCAATAAATCCTGCGTCACAAACTACTTCCTCTATTTCGCATGGGAGCAGCCGACATTCTGCCGTAGCAGTGTGTGGATCACAGACACACTCCTCGCACTGCGTTGTCCATCTCTCTCCAGGCTGAAAATACAAAAATGATGTATTTTGATGTGCCCTTTCGCTCTAGTTATTCGTGGCCAACTTGACTTAGACTCTCACGCTTAGTAAGGATTCCAGATAAAAGTTTTGGTACCATATGATTTCCAAACTTAAGAGCAAGCAAGCTGCGAACAATAAAATAACTGTCTTCTGTGTAGGGGAAAAAAAAAAAAAAAAAGCATTGTAACATTTTCATACCTAGTCCACTTATTTTTGTGATGTTTGAATATTCTTAAAAGTCTCTGCTATTATATTACCGGACTTTTCTATCTCTAGATGCATAAAAAGCCTGATGGTGCAAGGTTTGAAATATGTTTTATCAGGATATTCTTCCATGACAAACTCTGTTATTGAAATATGTGCAAGTTGATGTGAAATGAGGACAGAGGATAGAAGTTGAGATGTTTTTGCAATGGTAATATATTAAAATAAAGAAGGGAATCACCTTTCGCGAAGGATTGACATCAGTACAGTTTCTTTCTGGTAAATTTGTGAAGGATGTTGCTGTGGATGAGGGGGCTTCTGTTGTAGTCTCTGAGGACACCGAAGTTAAAGCAGTTGTTGCAGGACATGGCCCCTGAAATGGAGCAATTTCACATTCTTTGCTGCAAAGTGCATAAAAATTACATCCAGCCTTATCTGTTCTGTTGTATACAACTTCTCCTGTAGAAAAAAAATGAAAGAAAAATTAAAAGACCAATGAAATTACTAAGAAAAAAAAAACCCAAAACAAAAAATATTGTGAAAACATGAAGCATATTACTCTGTCGAAGTGATTATTCTATTTAAGATTTATTTGATTATCTTTAATACATTATCAAGGGATCACACTGCTTATGAAAGTGATTATAACCATCAAGCAAGAAGCTTACCGGGAGAAAACAAGCCACCAAACACGTGGCAAAAACATGGAGTTGTTCCACTTGCTTCTGTTGTGGAAGGTGTGGTGTAGGAAGAACTGGAGACTGCAGAAGTGCTAGTAGTGTGTCTTGGCTGTGAAGTACCAGCTGTTGAGAACAAAACAGTTTAGCACAGCATTTGGTTCTCCTAATTGTTACATATTATAGGAATCTATCAGAATCTGGGCAAACCAAACCAATGGTTGCATTCGACTATTTGACCCACTTTCTGTAGTAAATAGATATTGGTGAAATCTTACTGCTCTGTACCAAGTAACATTTGGGATTTTGCAAATATTAGGACTTCTAGCATTAATATATTTTAATGTCTCAGAGTCACCAATATCACCTTTATGGTAATAAATATGAAACCATGGAATCTGCTAAAAGATGTAGGATAAGCACAATGGCTGATAATTTTTTTTTCCGTTGAAAGAAAAACATGTAATAGTAGAAGTCACAGTAGAAAATTACACCAGTGATATTCTAATAAACTAACTGCAAAAAAATAGCTTTCTGATTTTGATGATGACCTACCAGAACGGCTTGAAGTAGGGGACTGAGCTGTAGTCTGTGTTACTAGAGTGGAGGACAAGGAGGTGATAGTACTGGTGGGGGAGCTGGGCACTGAGGTTGTGGTGGTGACGATGGTGGTTGTGCTTCCTGCTACAGGAGGTGAGGTCCTGGTGGTGCTGGCACTGCTGGTAGGTACGGTGGTGCTTCCTGCACTTGTGGATGTAACGGTGGTTGTGCTTTTTGTTGGAGGAGGTGAGGTCTTGGTGGTGCTGGCACTGGAGGTAGGTACAGGGGTCCCTGCACTTGTGGAAGAAATGGTGGTTGTACCTTCTGTTGTAAGCGGAACAGTCTTGGTTGTACTTCCAGCCGTGACTGTAGTTGGGCCTGCTGACGGAGTGCTGGTGGTCTTGGTGACTCCGGTGGTGCTTGTGGTGGTGGTCTCAGAAGATGTGGGGATAGTAGAGGCAGTAGTGGGTGTTGTTGTAGTCTGGAAGCGTCCAGTGGGTGGCGTTACTGAAGTGGTTCCAGTTGAGATGCTTGGCTTAGAGACAGAAGTGGGTTTTGCTGTAGGCTGGGTTTGACCAGAGGACGAAGTTGCTGGAATGGCGCTAGTTGACGACATGGGTGTGATAGTACTGGTGGGGGAGCTGGGCACTGAGGTTGTGGTGGTGAGAATGGTGGTCGTGCTCCCTGGTACAGGAGGAGTGGTCTTGGTGGTGCTGGCACTGGAGGTAGGTACGGTGGTCCCTGCACTTGTGGAAGAAATGGTGGTCCTAGCTTTTATTGGAGGAGGTGAGGTCCTGGTGGTGCTGGCACTGCTGGTAGGTATGGTGGTGCTTCCTGCACTTGTGGATGTAATGGTGGTTGTGCTTTCTGTTGGAGGAGGTGAGGTCTTGGTGGTGCTGGCACTGGAGGTAGGTACAGTGGTCCCTGCACTTGTGGAAGAAACGGTGGTCGTACCTTCTGTTGTAAGCGGAACAGTCTTGGTTGTACTTCCAGCCGTGACTGTAGTTGGGCCTGCTGACGGAGTGCTGGTGGTCTTGGTGACTCCGGTGGTGCTTGTGGTGGTGGTCTCAGAAGACGTGGGGATAGTAGAGGCAGTAGTGGGTGTTGTTGTAGTCTGGTAGACCTCAGTGGGTGGCGTTACTGAAGTGGTTCCAGTTGAGGTGCTTGGCTTAGAGACAGTAGTGGGTTTTGCTGTAGGCTGGGTTTGACCAGAGGACGAAGTTGCTGGAATGGCGCTAGTTGACGACATGGGTGTGATAGTACTGGTGGGGGAGCTGGGCACTGAGGTTGTGGTGGTGAGAATGGTGGTCGTGCTCCCTGGTACAGGAGGAGTGGTCTTGGTGGTGCTGGCACTGGAGGTAGGTACGGTGGTCCCTGCACTTGTGGAAGAAATGGTGGTCCTAGCTTTTATTGGAGGAGGTGATGTCTTGGTGGTGCTGGCATTGCTGGTAGGTATGGTGGTGCTTCCTGCACCTGTGGATGTAATGGTGGTCGTGCTTTCTGTTGGAGGTGGTGACGTCTTGGTGGTGCTGGCACTGCTGGTAGGTATGGTGGTGCTTCCTGCACTTGTGGATGTAACGGTGGTTGTGCTTTCTATTGGAGGAGGTGAGGTCTTGGTGGTGCTGGCACTGGAGGTAGGTACAGTGGTCCCTGCACTTGTGGAAGAAACGGTGGTCGTACCTTCTGTTGTAAGCGGAACAGTCTTGGTTGTACTTCCAGCTGTGACTGTAGTTGGGCCTGCTGACGGAGTGCTGGTGGTCTTGGTGACTCCGGTGGTGCTTGTGGTGGTGGTCTCAGAAGACGTGGGGATAGTAGAGGCAGTAGTGGGTGTTGTTGTAGTCTGGTAGACCTCAGTGGGTGGCGTTACTGAAGTGGTTCCAGTTGAGATGCTTGGCTTAGAGACAGTAGTGGGTTTTGCTGTAGGCTGGGTTTGACCAGAGGACGAAGTTGCTGGAATGGCGCTAGTTGACGACATGGGTGTGATAGTACTGGTGGGGGAGCTGGGCACTGAGGTTGTGGTGGTGAGAATGGTGGTCGTGCTCCCTGGTACGGGAGGAGTGGTCTTGGTGGTGCTGGCACTGGAGGTAGGTACGGTGGTCCCTGCACTTGTGGAAGAAATGGTGGTCCTAGCTTTTATTGGAGGAGGTGATGTCTTGGTGGTGCTGGCATTGCTGGTAGGTACGGTGGTGCTTCCTGCACTTGTGGATGTAATGGTGGTTGTGCTTTCTGTTGGAGGAGGTGAGGTCTTGGTGGTGCTGGCACTGGAGGTAGGTACAGTGGTCCCTGCACTTGTGGAAGAAACGGTGGTCGTACCTTCTGTTGTAAGCGGAACAGTCTTGGTTGTACTTCCAGCTGTGACTGTAGTTGGGCCTGCTGACGGAGTGCTGGTGGTCTTGGTCACACCCGTGGTGCTTGTGGTGGTGGTCTCAGAAGACGTGGAGATAGTAGAGGCAGTAGTGGGTGTTGTTGTAGTCTGGAAGCGTCCAGTGGGGGGCGTTACTGAAGTGGTTCCAGTTGAGGTGCTTGGCTTAGAGACAGAAGTGGGTTTTGCTGTAGGCTGGGTTTGACCAGAGGACGAAGTTGCTGGAATGGCGCTAGTTGACGACATGGGTGTGATAGTACTGGTGGGGGAGCTGGGCACTGAGGTTGTGGTGGTGAGAATGGTGGTCGTGCTCCCTGGTACAGGAGGAGTGGTCTTGGTGGTGCTGGCACTGGAGGTAGGTACGGTGGTCCCTGCACTTGTGGAAGAAATGGTGGTCCTAGCTTTTATTGGAGGAGGTGATGTCTTGGTGGTGCTGGCACTGCTGGTAGGTATGGTGGTGCTTCCTGCACTAGTGGATGTAATGGTGGTTGTGCTTTCTGTTGGAGGAGGTGATGTCTTGGTGGTGCTGGCATTGCTGGTAGGTATGGTGGTGCTTCCTGCACTTGTGGATGTAACGGTGGTCGTGCTTTCTGTTGGAGGTGGTGACGTCTTGGTGGTGCTGGCACTGCTGGTTGGTGTGGTGCTTCCTGCACTTGTGGATGTAACGGTGGTTGTGCTTTCTGTTGGAGGAGGTGAGGTCTTGGTGGTGCTGGCACTGGAGGTAGGTACAGGGGTCCCTGCACTTGTGGAAGAAACGGTGGTCGTACCTTCTGTTGTAAGCGGAACAGTCTTGGTTGTACTTCCAGCTGTGACTGTAGTTGGGCCTTCTGACGGAGTGCTGGTGGTCTTGGTGACTCCGGTGGTGCTTGTGGTGGTGGTCTCAGAAGATGTGGGGATAGTAGAGGCAGTAGTGGGTGTTGTTGTAGTCTGGTAGACCTCAGTGAGTAGCGTTACTGAAGTGGTTCCAGTTGAGGTGTTTGGCGTAGTGCCTGGAGTCGGTGATGTTGTCGAGCACTGTTTTCGGTCACAGCACAGCACACTGACCTGGTAGTTGAAGCACATGGGGTACTTGCTCTTCTGATCCTGGTTTCTGCACTCAAGCCCAACTTCGAGGCTGCACTTCAGTTTCTGGTCCAAGCTCTCCAGGCTCCTGTCAGGGTAGTTTTCAGCACGGCACCTGATGTCCTGTGGCTGGGAGCACAGGTCATAACCAGCGGCACGGATATTTGCATAGGTCTCAAAGTCTCCATCCTGGCTACCAGAGCTTGGGAAATCCACATCAAACCACTGCGTCCAGGCACAGCGTGGCTGGCAGCTGGTTGTGTTGGGAGAGGTGGTGGCAGTAGTGGTGGGTGAGGTGGGGATGGTGACTGTGCTCCTAGTTGTAAGAGGAGTGGTCTTGGTGGTGCTGGCACTGCTGGTAGGTGTGGTGCTTCCTGCACTTGTGGATGTAACGGTGGTCGTGCTTTCTGTTGGAGGTGGTGACGTCTTGGTGGTGCTGGCACTGCTGGTAGGTGTGGTGCTTCCTGCACTAGTGGATGTAACGGTGGTTGTGCTTTCTGTTGGAGGAGGTGAGGTCTCAGTGGTGCTGGCACTGGAGGTAGGTACAGGAGTCCCTGCACTTGTGGAAGAAACGGTGGTCGTACCTTCTGTTGTAAGCGGAACAGTCTTGGTTGTACTTCCAGCTGTGACTGTAGTTGGGCCTGCTGACGGAGTGCTGGTGGTCTTGGTCACTCCGGTGGTGCTTGTGGTGGTGGTCTCAGAAGATGTGGGGATAGTAGAGGCAGTAGTGGGTGTTGTTGTAGTCTGGAAGCGTCCAGTGGGGGGCGTTACTGATGTGGTTCCAGTTGAGGTGCTTGGCTTAGAGACAGAAGTGGGTTTTGCTGTAGGCTGGGTTTGACCAGAGGACGAAGTTGCTGGAATGGCGCTAGTTGACGACATGGGTGTGATAGTACTGGTGGGGGAGCTGGGCACTGAGGTTGTGGTGGTGAGAATGGTGGTCGTGCTCCCTGGTACAGGAGGAGTGGTCTTGGTGGTGCTGGCACTGGAGGTAGGTACGGTGGTCCCTGCACTTGTGGAAGAAATGGTGGTCCTAGCTTTTATTGGAGGAGGTGATGTCTTGGTGATGCTGGCACTGCTGGTAGGTATGGTGGTGCTTCCCGCACCTGTGGATGTAATGGTGGTCGTGTTTTCTGTTGGAGGTGGTGACGTCTTGGTGGTGCTGGCACTGCTGGTAGGTGTGGTGCTTCCTGCACTAGTGGATGTAATGGTGGTTGTGCTTTCTGTTGGAGGAGGTGAGGTCTTGGTGGTGCTGGCACTGGAGGTAGGTACAGTGGTCCCTGCACTTGTGGAAGAAACGGTGGTCGTACCTTCTGTTGTAAGCGGAACAGTCTTGGTTGTACTTCCAGCTGTGACTGTAGTTGGGCCTGCTGACGGAGTGCTGGTGGTCTTGGTGACTCCGGTGGTGCTTGTGGTGGTGGTCTCAGAAGACGTGGGGATAGTAGAGGCAGTAGTGGGTGTTGTTGTAGTCTGGTAGACCTCAGTGAGTAGCGTTACTGAAGTGGTTCCAGTTGAGGTGCTTGGCGTAGTGCCTGGAGTCGGTGATGTTGTCGAGCACTGTTTTCGGTCACAGCACAGCACACTGACCTGGTAGTTGAAGCACATGGGGTACTTGCTCTTCTGATCCTGGTTTCTGCACTCAAGCCCAACTTCGAGGCTGCACTTCAGTTTCTGGTCCAAGCTCTCCAGGCTCCTGTCAGGGTAGTTTTCAGCACGGCACCTGATGTCCTGTGGCTGGGAGCACAGGTCATAACCAGCGGCACGGATATTTGCATAGGTCTCAAAGTCTCCATCCTGGCTACCAGAGCTTGGGAAATCCACATCAAACCACTGCGTCCAGGCACAGCGTGGCTGGCAGCTGGTTGTGTTGGGAGAGGTGGTGGCAGTAGTGGTGGGTGAGGTGGGGATGGTGACTGTGCTCCCAGTTGTAAGAGGAGTGGTCTTGGTGGTGCTGGCACTGCTGGTAGGTGTGGTGCTTCCTGCACTTGTGGATGTAACGGTGGTCGTGCTTTCTGTTGGAGGAGGTGAGGTCTCAGTGGTGCTGGCACTGGAGGTAGGTACAGGGGTCCCTGCACTTGTGGAAGAAACGGTGGTCGTACCTTCTGTTGTAAGTGGAACAGTCTTGGTTGTACTTCCAGCTGTGACTGTAGTTGGGCCTGCTGACGGAGTGCTGGTGGTCTTGGTGACTCCGGTGGTGCTTGTGGTGGTGGTCTCAGAAGATGTGGGGATAGTAGAGGCAGTAGTGGGTGTTGTTGTAGTCTGGTAGACCTCAGTGAGTAGCGTTACTGAAGTGGTTCCAGTTGAGGTGCTTGGCGTAGTGCCTGGAGTCGGTGATGTTGTCGAGCACTGTTTTCGGTCACAGCACAGCACACTGACCTGGTAGTTGAAGCACATGGGGTACTTGCTCTTCTGATCCTGGTTTCTACACTCAAGCCCAACTTCGAGGCTGCACTTCAGTTTCTGGTCCAAGCTCTCCAGGCTCCTGTCAGGGTAGTTTTCAGCACGGCACCTGATGTCCTGTGGCTGGGAGCACAGGTCATAACCAGCGGCACGGATATTTGCATAGGTCTCAAAGTCTCCATCCTGGCTACCAGAGCTTGGGAAATCCACATCAAACCACTGCGTCCAGGCACAGCGTGGCTGGCAGCTGGTTGTGTTGGGAGAGGTGGTGGCAGTAGTGGTGGGTGAGGTGGGGATGGTGACTGTGCTCCCAGTCGTAAGAGGAGTGGTCTTGGTGGTGCTGGCACTGCTGGTAGGTGTGGTGCTTCCTGCACTTGTGGATGTAATGGTGGTTGTGCTTTCTGTTGGAGGAGGTGAGGTCTTGGTGGTGCTGGCACTGGAGGTAGGTACAGGGGTCCCTGCACTTGTGGAAGAAACGGTGGTCGTACCTTCTGTTGTAAGTGGAACAGTCTTGGTTGTACTTCCAGCTGTGACTGTAGTTGGGCCTGCTGACGGAGTGCTGGTGGTCTTGGTGACTCCGGTGGTGCTTGTGGTGGTGGTCTCAGAAGACGTGGGGATAGTAGAGGCAGTAGTGGGTGTTGTTGTAGTCTGGTAGACCTCAGTGGGTGGCGTTACTGAAGTGGTTCCAGTTGAGGTGCTTGGCGTAGTGCCTGGAGTCGGTGATGTTGTCGAGCACTGTTTTCGGTCACAGCACAGCACACTGACCTGGTAGTTGAAGCACATGGGGTACTTGCTCTTCTGATCCTGGTTTCTACATTCAAGCCCAACTTCGAGGCTGCACTTCAGTTTCTGGTCCAAGCTCTCCAGGCTCCTGTCAGGGTAGTTTTCAGCACGGCACCTGATGTCCTGTGGCTGGGAGCACAGGTCATAACCAGCGGCACGGATATTTGCATAGGTCTCAAAGTCTCCATCCTGGCTACCAGAGCTTGGGAAATCCACATCAAACCACTGCGTCCAGGCACAGCGTGGCTGGCAGCTGGTTGTGTTGGGAGAGGTGGTGGCAGTAGTGGTGGGTGAGGTGGGGATGGTGACTGTGCTCCCAGTCGTAAGAGGAGTGGTCTTGGTGGTGCTGGCACTGCTGGTAGGTATGGAGCTTCCTGCACCTGTGGATGTAATGGTGGTCGTGCTTTCTGTTGGAGGTGGTGACGTCTTGGTGGTGCTGGCACTGCTGGTAGGTGTTGTTGATGAAGTTGTTGATGCAATGGTGGTCGTACTTTCTGTTTGGTGCACTGATGTCTTAGTGGTATCTGCACTACTGGTATGTTTTGATATTGTCGTTTCTTTTTGTTGTGGTCTTGTTCCTATTGGTGACATTGTTGTTTTATTTTTTGTCTGTATTGGAATTGCTGTTGTTTCAGTAGTTGTGAATGTAGTTTGTTGTGTTTGTTTTGGTGTTGTAGTTGTTATTTCTGAACATGATATATATTTACAGCATAATACTCTGATTTGGTAATTGAAGCATTTCTTATCTTCTTGGTCTTCGTTATTGCATTTCAATTCAGTGGTTTTATTGCATTGTATCTTTTGGTCATGATAGTTTATTGTCTTATCTGAGTGTTCATGTACTCTGCATTCAATGCTGCTCGTGGTATTACAAGTGTTTTTTCCTTGTCCTATGATATATTGAAAGGTTTCCTCTTCATTTTCAACCTCCATCCCATCATACCATTCTGACCACTCACATATATACTTCACGCATACACTTCTTGCTGGTGTTGTGGTTGCCATTTCTGTATTTCAAAGAAAGAAATATAAGTTTTGTTTTCTTCTACTGAGGAAAATGTCATTTAAAAAAGTTATTCAACTTCCATGCATTTATTGCTCTACATAATATTTGTATGTTAATATAGTATTTTAATGAACTTGTTTCGAGTATCTTTATTTTCAATTTTAATATAGGTTTTCATCTCATCTCTTTATTCCTTTTCTCATTTTTATTCTCATTACCACTGTCCACTTACTATTGCATAGCTACATAAATATACTAGTTTTAAAATATTTTTAAAAAATAATGAGTTTCCTAATTATTTTTAGTATTATGGCATTCATTTCTAAATTTATTATATAAACAGGTAATATTTATTTTATTTATATAATATATTATGGAATACATATTGATATTTCTTATTTTAATGAGATTTCTGTTCAGTATGTTAGCATTATGGAAATGAATGTATGAAGCACATACTCATTCCATCACATGAATGTTACAACCACTTAATAGAAGACTTAAATTTGATTATGCAGTTCTTGCTGTAGTATTCTGTAATTGTGATGAAATACTTCTCATTTTCTCTCAATTACATGGTCAGTATGAGTTCACTGCTGGAAAATGTAGATGTTCAGGTTATTAAAGATGATCAGATTGGAAAGATTCCAAAAAATGGTTTAAAATAATTTGAGCATTCCCTCAAAATTCTGTTTATGCTATTGTGGTCAGTAATTTTTGAAATGTCAGTAATTGTCTTTTGTGTTGGTCTAGAATTGCTGTTTTTTATTTGTAGGGAAGTGAGATTCTGAAAAGAGCAATAAGACAAGTAAGTTTCATCATTTTTCCACTGGAAAAAAAAAAACAAAACAGTAAAGTAGTGGAGACTGACTTTGTGAGAAATGCTGTATTTTTTATATATATTTTTAAGCAATTAAAGCTGCCAATTGAGTTGGTTGCTTCAGAAGTCAACAGTTTCAAATAAAAGTATGTGCTAATGGCTCATCCCCTTTAGGCAATTTTCAATCCCTCCTAGAGATTTTTCAGTTATTTTGAAAAGTATTCAATGCATACCTGTTGTAGGTTGACTGGTAGAAAATGTAAATGAGGTACTTGGGGTGGTTGTGATTCCACATTCAAATATATTTCTGCTTATTGTTCCATTGACATCACATGTTGCATGGAAACACCATCCACTTCCATCTGTGGTGTTGTAGATGAGTTCATTATATTTATAGATGTTGTTTTCATATATGCAGTTGCATGCTGTAATTGATAAGATTATTGTTGGTCACCTATGAAAAGATAGTATCCTGTATCTAAATTTTTCACTGTGCTTCTTGGCTGTCTTACCTTTATCATCAAACTTGCACTGTAAACCTTCTGATGTGCACTCGCTAAAATAAAAAGTATAAAATACATTTATTTTATTATAAGCTAATTGTACCGCTATCATCTTTCTGCCAGATTCTAGCATCAAGAAACAGAAATAGATAATTGTGAATGACAACTTAGTTGATTTATATAATAGCATTCAGATGGGCATGTTGCCTCAATTCCAGCTAAATAACAATTGTTCATTCCACATTACTAAGGCCCTTTTCACACTGCAGAACTATCAACATACAGCCTGAATAAAAACAGGTCTTAATTTTTTCTTTCTTATAGTGTGGATCATCGTCAGAACTGACTGCATCATGGAAGATCCACTCCTTACCCATTTCATTCTGTTAACATCAATTCATATGTGTTTACTCCTTGAGCACCCAGTTTATGTTGATTCTTTTTCTTTTTTTTTTTTTTGCCATGGTTTTCCTAAACCTTTCTTTACATTTAACCCAAGCTTATACATACAGTGAAATTAAAGATTATGCAAAGTTATAAGTGCAAGTCTTCAGCAGAGCCATGTATAATTTTCCTTGCATTTGTTTTTATACCAAAAAAAAAAACCAAACACGTTAAGAAGGGAGAGTCTTAAGTACTACAAGCATGCTCTAAGAATGTAATAAATCCTCGGAAGTAGACCCCTTAGTAGATATATATACTTCTGGAATGATATTTTTTCCCGCCGTAGCAATGGAAAATAGAGGAAGCTTAGTCTCAAAGTACTTACTGTTTTCGTTGTATCATTGTGCTGAGGATTTACAACATAATTATGATCAAATTCAACAGAACAAAAAGTGTAATAGATCCTAATAATACTAAATAGTAAGAAAGCTAGTATTGGATGGAAAGGCCAGGCAGCATGAAACTCACTGTGTTGTGAAACAGGAACATTTAATTTCCTATTGTTGGTTTAGTCAGTTTTGCTTGTACACAATTAGATTGGTGTGTTAAGCCTTACCATAATTGACATTTATCCCGCATATATATCTTTCCATCTTCATTATCATAACAGTCACAGAGACTGACACACTTCATCTGATCCTCATGAAAATATGGCTTGTCTGGTGGGCAGTTGGGGTAGCAGCCTGAAACAAGGAAAAGGGCATATACAAGGCTGAAAAAGTGTGAACACAGAAAATCAGGAAAAGTTTTGTTTGTGCAAGATGTGTTTGCAGGTTGTGTTTTTAACAGCAATAATTTTTACTACTAATTTTTTCCAGTAATTGTAGGAAGTAATGCAGAGCATTAATGTTAGCAGAGGACTCAGCCACAGATGTTTTCATGTGTGCTTTATCTCCATTCATGGTGATGCAATGATGTTGAAGAGAATTAAATGATGAGAAAGGCTGATGGAGAAAACAGGTTCCATTAAAGACTATTCAAAACATTATGAACGAATTTATCCATTTAAGGGTACTTGCAAGCTCTTTTTACCTTCTAAACCTGGCAAGTTATGGAGGCATTTTCCACTTGGGTTCTTACAGGTCTTCATACAGGAGGCTCCACAAGGCTTATAGTGCCATTCACATTCTCCTTGTTGATTATAGTAATCACAGAACAGTGCTAAAGAGAAACATAAATTTGAACACGTTCAGAAAAAAACCCAAAACTCTTTTGAGCCATGTCTGTTAGATTCCCACCATGCTGCCTTAAACAGCCTTGAAAACTGAATGAATAGGTGAAATATGTGACCATCAAAACCCTTTGGAAAGTACACAGTGCAATTATAATTCATGTACATGAGGTACACAGAATATATGTTCAAAGATAGCATCAAGGAATTGCTGTATACTTTACTACACTTTCAGAAGAAGTGTATAGAAAATAAAACTCACGACAAATTGATGGGGTTCTCCAGGCTATACAGACACCAACTTCATTACATGCTTGAGCATAGGCAGCTACTGCTGTACAAAAACAATCACAGTCTCCTCCAGAGTCACAGGCACAAGCATCTGTCACACAGGCTTGATAATATCTTGCTGGTTCAATCTGTCATAAAAAAAATAAGTATTACACTATACATTCTTCCTCCTAAGTTTTGTCAACTTTGCTAGATTGATTTTCTTAAAAATAGGATCTCAGAAGGAAGGCCTATATCAGTTATTTCTTTTGTTATGTTTATATACACTGTTAGACACCAGACGTAATGCCAGATAATAATTCAAATCACATATTGACATAGTTTTAGACGTCCAGACTTGTGTCCCAGTGAAAGATTGGTTTCGTGTTCCCAAGCTGTACTAGGCAGCCATAACCTGAAGATCTCTAGTAGTGGAAAGAACTAAGGTAATAGGAGCAGCACAAAATTATCCTGCATTGCTGATGTGTACTGGCAGTTAATGCTGCCTCATTACTACCCCAAAATGTTATTTCATTGAATTTGTGTTCATTACATGGCATGTTTTATCCAAGTTACACCATATGAAAATATGTAGTAATTCTGAAATTATTGTTCTTTCCCAACAAGTTAGTATCATTTTCTATGATCTATATAGCCTACTATTTCTTACAGGTAGGGGCTATAGATCTGTTTGACTGTTCAAGATATAGGCTGAAGTTACACAATTCAAAGTGAAACATGCTGTCTAATGAATTAAACATATATGGTAAAGTGTATGAAGATTCAGTAACAGTCAGGCCTAATCTTCACAGAGTCAGCTCCTGCCCTGGTGATACCTGTGAGTGACAGGCAGCAAAGACATTGCTGTTGATGATGCTACACTGCTTCTCTGACCAGGACTTTCGATAAGGGTTGGTAGAGCATGGGTCCTTTAAGAAGTGAGCATCAGGACATGTGGAGGATACTTTCCAGCTGTTTCCGAACTCTAGGACATTCTCCACTACAGACAGACTCCTTGTAGTGAAGTCATTGATGCCATTGCCATCATAATTTCCACAGAGGCCACAGATCTGACCCTGCAAAAGGAAAAAAAAATTATGATGGATATGAGAAAACAAAGATCTGAAACTGAAAGAATACATGAAATTCAGCTCTTAGAGTACCATTCTATTCTAACTTTCCCGAAGATTCCCACTGAAGATACATTTTAGGTTTAGATATTCTGGAAAAGCAGCCATCTGTTTCCTCAGCAACAGAACATGACCACCAAGGCTACAAACAGCTACAGACTTTCCTTTTTTTAAATCTGAACAGTACAACTGTCTTGATCATTTTATCCATTTTTGAGGACGTGTCAAACTTTGAGGTACATCCTCTTAACATTTAACAAAGGAAATGAGGACTCAACTAGTTGACCATGCTACAATGCTTTTCATTTATGCTTTGTTTTATACAATGGATGTTCATACAAAAGAGTCTTACAAAGCTGTCATAAGTACTGCCAGTACACCCATGTAACTTACTCGTTAAGTCTACTGTGATGACTGCTGACAGATGGAAAAATAAATGACATTTTCCTTGCATTTCCAGAAATATCTCATTCCAAATTTCGATATGTGAAATGGTGATAGGCTGTAACAGATGCTAAGCTTTCTCTGTGGATTCAAGGATTATACTCTGTCCATGCTTTGTCCCTTGTTCATATATATACTTGAAAAATATATAACATTTTACTTAGTATTTTACTTCCTTGTTTTTTGGAGTACAATAATTTGGATTTATGTGTGAATGTGTACTGGAAACAATAGATGATTTTTCAAAATCAGGACTACTGAATTGATTTCTACACATGTAGCTATGTAATCTTAGTAAAGTCTGATAAGCTTTACCAAGATTCACAAAGTAATTTTAACAAGTACAGCCCATAGCAGCAGTTTACCAACTCAAGTTCTGTCAGGCCAAATAGAAACTGAACACTGCCTTGAGCACTCCAAAGAGTAGCTGCATTTTTACGTGTTTTCCTAAGGTACCAGAGGAATAGAAAATGACATATGACGTCCTCCAGGAATGCTAGAGAAATCACCTGTTTGGGATATTGTTTTAGTCAGATAAAAAAATAACACCCAGTCTAGATCTAGACTACTAGTTCCGCACCTTAAATTCAGCGCTCAGCTTGATGAAGATGCTGGTTTTCTTGTCCCACATGAGGATCAGTCCGATGGTGGTATCAATCACTGTGTACATACCTATGTAACGGACTGTGAATGGTACTTCACCACCTTGTCCTCTCTGTATCACACTGACACGCTCCTCACTGAGTATCAGTTCATAGTGCTGAAAACGGAGGAAAAGGTGATCAGAAATGAACCTAATAGCTACAGCTGTGCTACTGAACACTTTTTTTTTCCACTTTTAAGAGTACTAAAACCAGTTTGTTTAATGAAAAATACATCATCCGAATGTAATGTGGTTCAAATCTCAGGTTCATGGAATTGTGGTAAAACTGTATTTTAAATGGAGCAGATTGTTGATGAAAAAATGATGTCATGGTAGTCATGGAGGAACTACAGTGCACAGAGTAAGAAAATCTTCTGATGTGATCAGCCAAAATTTTGCTATGGGCAGTTTTCCTCTAGAGCTGTAGTTTGTCCAAGGGTAAGTATAAGACAGCTTTGTGAGGCTGGAATAGGCGGATAGCAGGGAGCTGCACCAAATACTTCACCTGATTCTGGCTTAAGCTTAATTTACAAGTTGATCTGCTTTTTAAAATATTTTCTCTACACTTCCTTGTGGCAACAGATATCCTGATTCCTCCCAAGCTTTACACAGATAGTGAACAAAAAACCCCTGGTCTGTAATGTAATACCTACATACCTCTAAGAAAACTTTGATAGATTTTGAGCAAGTTGTCCCAGTGCTGCCGCAGGGAATATTTTCAGTGATAACCTGGAAGGTCCCATTCACTATGTCACTCTTCCCGCAGTGGTTCTGAGTAGTAAAATAAAAAGCATGTTATTGTTTCAGATAAGATCAAGATTATATTACAATGTAGTTTTGTTAAGTAACAGTACCCGGACTAACGTGTATTTGCAGTTTCCACTGAAGCTGAATGTCTGGTCATCAAAGGTGGTATAATGTCCATCTCCGTAAACAGCACACGTGCCCAGGCATTGTTTTTTGGTGCATTCCCACATCCTATTCTTGCACACACTAGGAAAGAGAATTAAATGTTTTAGTAATAAAGTAACTCACTGTCTTATGCAGACATTTCCCAAAAACTCAGCATTTGTTTGGCATCTCATTCTTGGTAAATGTTATATTGATTCTGAAGTTAAAACAGTCTTTTACATTTCCCATGTGAAGTAGTAAAGCAAAGTTCTGTTCTTCTATTCCAAAAGCATGAACTGCAAAAAAGGGTAAAATGTAATGGACACCATCCTCCCAAAGGTTTTCTCCCAGTTTGTGCCTCAGCTGTCTACCTGCAACAAAAGTTGCTCATCTTTCTGAGTCAAAACTTAAAAGAACCATCAGTTGATGTAATGCACAGTCTAAATCTCTCCTCACTACTGTACACCTTAAGATCTCAAGGCAAATGATGGAACCAGGCATGCAACCTTCCAGAAAATACTTACCAGGTATTACAGTCAGCATTGATCTTTTCCCCGGGTTGATACATGGCTCCATTGTGAATACATGGACATTCCTCTTCAGGAATACAACCACCCTTCCCATCTAACACAAGTCCAGATGGGCACACACAGCCAGATACACACTGTGTGCTATACTGGAAAGGTCAAGAGGAAGATACAATTTCAGAATAAAATAATCACACTAGAAAAACGAAGATCAGATCAACTTAAAATGTCTTTATATGTTCTATTTCTGCCCAGCTTAAATAAGAGAAGACTGATGTATTTATAGGCCTCTAGAACAAAGACGAAGCTATTAGCATATAAAGCTGCTAAACATTAGATGCATTCCGATCCTAAATGCATTTGTTCCAGTCTGTGAAATCTGAACTATACCAGATCTTAAGACTTGCTCTGTGTTAGCTGAAGAAGCCCTATGCTTTGTGATGGATGACTTGTGATTGAATGAATGGACTTTAAAAAGAAAATAAGTAAATTTAGTTTGAGTGAGTTGCACTGAAAACAGATGCATCTCTTATGGTACCTATTCATGAAATTACGCATGGCTATCGTGCACTTAGACAAAGATATAATTAGATGTGCACTATCATTGGAAAGAAATGATTGCTCCTAGCCAGCCTACAGCAAGTAATTTTCTCTTAAGGAAGTAAAATATGCGGCAAAGCTCTAAATATTTTCACTACTAGTTACTCTTACTTCGAAAGACTTGAACTGTTACAACACTGTGTAAGACATAAAAAGAAATACTTCATATTATATACACACAGGTTTCTATTCTTATACTTGATCCATTTTTGTGTCATGAATTTTCACACAAATCCTGTGCTGAAAGTCAGAACGCCATCACCTTTTTCAATTTAGTCAGATGAAACAGCTACAAAAGGCTAGCTCTAATGAGGATGATTTGAGAAGTAGCTGAAGAAACTTTGATACTTATAAAAGTTGGATGTTACTTTGTTAAATTTTATTCTGATGATCCTATGTTAACACTTCATAATGTGTTTTGGCGATTTTAGTATACAAAGTATCTGTGATGTAGATTCAGAGAAGGAGAGTTAGATCAATGATGACTGTAGCACAAAGATGACAGACAAAACTTGAAAGTACCATTTCATCTAGCCATGACATACTTACACACTGCATATCCAGAGTATGACAGCTTTTTTGACACTCTGATCCAGTTGTTCCTGCTGTGTTGTTTCTACAGTCTAAGTAGAACATGGGAGATTCACAAACTAGAGGAAGGAAAGAAGTGAGAGAAGTAAGAAATGGCTGGGGGTTTATCACACAGCTGTAGAAATAAAAGCCATCTAGAAATTGTTTGGAATTTGTACATTTCAGTTAGTAAGGACTGCTGTCCCTACTCAGTCTGCTAAATAGGAATCCAATTGTAGATTCACTTCAGAGCACTGAATTCCCAGAACCTTCCACAGTATATCAGAAAAAAATCTTTTAGAACAGATCTTCTCATGAACCTAGGGTTACTTCTGCCTTTTATAGTATAGAAATACTTCTACTATTTAAAAATGCATTAAGAAATATCAATTCTACCAAATATTTTTGTCCAGAACCTGGCACAGAGAAAAAGACAAGTGCAAGTGGAAGACTTTTTTTTAACCTGGAATTTGATCGGGTTCTCCAATGCAATTCAGTTTTCCCTGGATGCAAGTGCTGTAAGAGAGGGAAAAACATTAACTTTTAACCATATATTAAGACTGAGAGCTACCTCTGTCAAATTTCAGTACTTTATAAGGAATTAATTGAATTCCTGAATACTATTTTACAGACCCAGGGAAGTGTTTCTCTCAACATCACTACCAATTATGCTTTCATAATAGGAAAAACGAGTTTGAAATGGATATATTTCTGCTTGTTACTTACTTTCTCTTAAGATTTCTCTTTGCTTTTTCTGTCGTGTGTTTTGTGCTTGAAAACTCATAAAATTAAATAGAAAATACTCCTATATACAATTGCTCTATCAATCTGGATGTACACATTATTCTTAAAAGTTTTTTAAAAATGTTTATGATATTACTATATTGAAATTCACACAGGACAAGGTGAGAACAATTTAAATTAAGCTTATTTAGGTAATAAAATGCATATACTATTGCTTGAACGTTTTTTATAAGCTTCCCTTACCATACAAGCCCATTTTCACGGACAACTTCTCCAAGTGGTATGGGAGATCCTCGGTAGTAACAGGGGCATTCATCAGCAGGCACACATTTGCCACTTTCGTCCATGTAGGTTCCATTTATGCAGGTGCAGCCATCAACTGGGACAAACTTAATTTTGCATATGATATCAGGCTCACTTAGAGAGCGACACGTGGGTTGGCATGAATCGATGTTATAGCTGTAACTTAGGGATTTGGGACATGAGGTGGTGTACTTTGCTTGAGAGAGTAAAAAGGAAGAATGAGTTTGTTAATTCCAGATGGTAATTTTTGTTGAGAAGAAAGAAATGGTACGTAGTAGCAGTAACAGGTGAACAATAATATACACCTCTGCCTATGCTCTATCTTTCACATCAATGTTTTTTCTGAATTTTTCCAGAATTAGAAGTGAAAGCCACTGTATGTGTAGATTAAATCAAGTCATATATGCTATAAGAAATGTATTTTCTTCAAATGAGAGTTTGGAAAGAAACTTCCATTCAGTGCTGCTGTTTCATTTTTCTAGTTTTCTGGTTAGTATTACTAATATTATTATTCTAATATATCATATTTATCTCTATGACACTGTGATATAGAAAACTATAGTTAAATTCAAAGTCGTGCAGAAACAGATGGAGGCGTGTCTGTAACAGCAAGCTCTCTCCCATCTGTTTATATTTATTCTTGCTTTTAATGGATTGAATCTAAAAGAACAGCAGGGAATTACATCTAGGAGTGCATTTAACAAAATCCCTTCCTTGATACTTACCATATTTGTCTAGAAATCAATATAATTTTTTTTTTCACCAACACTTTTTATTGATGAGCGCACAGGAAAGGAAATAGAGAAGTGTACTCACAACAGACATTAGTCCTCCACCCATTTATTTGGATTCCTCTTGCAGCACAAGCTCTCACATAGGAAGAAAGGGATGCACACAGACAGCCCTCACTGTTTTGACAGTTGCACGTGTCAAACATGCAGTTCTAGGAATGTGAAAAAATATAATCTCAACACTTCTAAGACTATCAACATCTGGGTCATTTGTAATGAGAAGAAAGACTGACAGCACACTGATAGTGGAATGATGATAATTAGCCAATGGGCTTTCTGTGCCAAGTAGTTAATAATAAAGTGAGGTTGGTGAGGTGGCAGTTAACTGTAATTTTCAAATAACCATTTAACATGCCTTTGTGCTATAAGTATATCCATCCAAGAAAAAATAGCTGCCTTTGCATTTGGAATGACAAAACCAAGACTGACAACTGAAATAAGATAATGCCACAGCAAAAACAGCAACATGTTGAAAGAAAGAAGTGCAGTAAGAAATGAAAATGCAGGTATTGCAAAAGACTAGAGATATGTCTGGGACAGTTTTTTCCTGGTAGCTAGTTGTACATGATCCTATTTCTATTGTTTCTGAAGAGAAACCAGTCTACCAACATACCATGTAGTAAGTAGAGGGATTCAGTAGATAATGACAATCAGCAAAAGGTCCTTCTCTGTCAGTTAGTAGCCCACACCAATGCTTAGCATATTTTTCTGTTGAAAGAACAAACAGTGCAAATATGCACATTACTTTTTTAATTCATTAGTCCCATTACCCACTTTCCTAAAATGCGAAACTAGTTTTGAAATTACATCTAATCTCTCCCCTCCTGTCTATTTTCACTCAATTTGTGCTCTAAGGTTATTAAGACCAAAGGTACAATGAAATAAGAGTTACCAAAGATCACAAATAAAGAATTTCCAAAGATGCTCATGTGATCCACTCTTCTGATATCAAGCTGTGAGCTTAGACATTCTGTTTTCAGTGATCACACAGTTTCTTTCAGTTATGCCTCCAGGACTCTTCCTTTACTTCTTTATATAGCCCTCATGTTCTCATTGTGAATATTCTGATTGCAGATGTATGTTTTCACCGAATATATAATTCTTCATTCTCTTATATTTGCTTTTTAACTGTTGTGCTTTTCTTAGTGATAAGAAATTTTTTAAAAATCTTTTTCTTAACAAAATAACTTTATGAAGCATTTACCATTATCGATGCTGAGTGCACAGGGGTTCTCAAAACTGTGCTGGATATCAGGGCAAGAAGCCTGAGTTTTCCATGTATTAGCAAATGCTGCTGCTGTTCCTTCAATTACTCCACTTATGGCCTTAAAGTCATCAGTTTGGACATTATTGAAATTTCCACAAAGACCTGTTGAAAACCAGTGAAAAGTTTATACTGTTTGTACTCAACAAAAGACATTTAGCAAGATGTTCTTCATTTTCATTCACTTACCACAGGTTTGGTCTTTGAACACAGGGTCCAATCGCACAAACATTTGCATGATGGGTATGATCTGGATTTCAACCTGGATACCAATATTTGTGTGCACGATGATGAAGAATGATGAAGGTCTAAAGATGGTGACATTGGCTAAAAAAGAAAAAACAGAAGATTGCTTTCTAGAGGAGGTTAAATGAGGGACAGAGTATATCATGATAGGAAGGCTGCTCTAAAAGTAATGCCTCCTATTTTATGACATTGCCCACAACATCAGAGGTGAATAGTAGAGAAAAAATACCTGCTGAGATTGGCAGCTGGGTGTAGATTGAGTTCACAAACACACCACCATCACTTTTGACCTCAACGAGCTGTTTAGGAAGAGGAACAACAGGTAAAAGAGTAATAATAGTGATGGCTCCGGTGATATTACTTAAAGACCTATTAATTAAAAGGGGCATTTTTGTGATCTCATCTCTTCTCACTCTTTCCACTTTGTGCACTTACACTAATTTTCCTGGCCAAGGAAAAAAAGGTTTTTGAAGAGTTTTTCTCAACTGATTAGTGAATTTTATCATCTTGGTTTCTATGAATAAAACTTTATGATGAATTACACCCATTGCTGTTGTACTTGTAGCTTCTAAATTACAAGTTTATGTGTTTTCATCTAATTGGCAGAAAAAGAGTTTTTTCAGCTTTTTCTTAATGAACTTCCATAAAGTCAAATCTACTATTTTGTTTTCACAACAAAACTAGTTTATTTTCACATGATAAAAATCTAATGTACTTATCCCATGTGTGGAAATAAATAAATGTGCAGGTCCCCACCCGATAATGGCCTAGATGCTTTGGTCCCCACGTCATTAATAGTTTTTTTCTCATGCTTATTTTGCATTCTTACCGTTTGTCCTTTATTCAAGCTGAGGGTCACTGCCCGTAAGCATGTTTCAGTGCTTGTCATGCCACATTTGCGTAGTTCTACCAGGATGGTGAATATTTCATCTTCACAGAGCTGAAAATAAATAAAAATCCCAACAGTTATTCAATGAAAGGCTAATTACAAAAGAGGTCCCTGTCAAAGTCTCTCTTGTCAGGGAAATAGTAAAAATGAGTAATTTTCTTTTTTTTCTTTTTTTTTTTTTAGACTGAATTGTGCAAATGGGAAAAAAGAAAGCATAGAAGAATCAGATCAAAAAGGTCAAACCATTTCACTTACACATTACCGTAACAAAATGTTCTGATTATAATAAATTTTTTACTTCTTTATTTCTCTTAACTCATTTTTATAATGGTTCAAAACCTAAATGAAATGTATCAGTTGACTTGATCTGATTTTTCTTTATTTCTGCTTCCAAGAAAGAAATACTTATTAGATACAGTTAACAGGGCAAAGTTATTTAATCCAGTAAAACAGCTGGAACAATCATGCAGAAGAATGTATATTAAGCAATACCTTAAAAAGAGAATAGTCTTCAGCATTTATTGTACGACAGAACTGGAAACCACAATTTACTGTTGCATGACATCCTAATATTTAGGTGATAACTAAATCATTTGAATGGCAGAATACATTCCAGTAAGTGTCTGATTAACTGAAGCAACTCAATCAATATACATACGTCAAAGGACTTAAGTTTTGAAGATGTTGATTGAGATTACCTATCCTTTCCACAAGCACATAAGGCTTTATGACCAAGTAATAGTCTCACCTTAGAAAGGACGTAAGTGCAGTCTCCATAGACATCATAATGCTTTTTATCATATGTCGAAATGTGCGAGCCTCCCTCTACGGAACATATTCCTGGACATGACATATCTTCACAATTCCATTTGCTTCCATTGCATGTACTGGAAGAGGCAAGACAAACTTAGCTAAAATCAGCAATAGCAGTCTAGACTTACAGAAATTACAATGACATTAGGTTTAGAACTGCTTTTCCCTTTCAATCTATAGTTCGAATACACGGTAAATCCAGGTTTAAGACTTTCTCAAATATTGTGAACATATGAAGTAAAGCATTAAAGGGAGTGACTGTGATATGCATTCACTTTGTTCATTTGTTTCTATTCTTTTTTTGGACAGGTTAACTCAATAGCAACAGGTGCTGGATGAGTAATTGCTTGTCTTCTACAGCTTACATAAAACATAATGCCAAATTAAAATATCTTCTGTTTTCTTGTATAAATTTATAAGAAACTAAGAGAAATGTGACTCCACATCTACTCCTAGTGAGTAGATAGAGTATGTCTGTTTTCTAAGGTAATGTGGTACTGTACAGGTACAGGATTAATAACTGTGAAACTATGGTTGTGTAGCTTCTCTTATTTTCTTCAGAGAAAATAAATATTTGCAAATACGTAAATTACTGCAACTTCATTCCCTTTAGAGAAGTCCAAATGTTTGAACAAAGTAAACAAAGAGGAAGCACTTGAATTCACTGGTGAGAAATCTAAACACTGTAAATCCTTACTTTGATCACCTTGAGCTCAAGTGCAAAGACAGTTAAGGCTGTTGCTAAATAAAAGAAAGAATGTTCGCTGAGGTTATTTTGGAACTGTAGCGTTTAGTTAAATACACAGATCAATTACGATGATGTAATTGCAAACAATAAATCATTAAACCCACTAAATATATTAGAGGATAAAGAGTTAAGAAAATAGCAAGAGTTACCAGGAATAGCACTGCTCTGAGAAAGAAGTTCCTGGAGCATAAGTGTTGCCATTGTGAATACAGGAGCATTGCTGACGGGAGATGCAGCCAGAATTGTTTATGTCATCAAAAACGGTTCCTTAAGTTAAAAACAACAGCAGAATTTAATCAATTAAAGAGGTACTTTCCATACACGGGAAAAAAATCATTTTTGTTCATTACTAAATGTTGCTTCAAAGACAGATTTGCAGCTGCTGTGAACTGTCATAGATGTACTGAGGACAGTAGGACTATGCCAATTTACAGACTTTCAACCTTTCTATTCTTAAATTCCACCTGCTTTGAAAGGGAGCTATTTTAGTACAGGTGGCTTGCTGAAAGACTAGCTTTGATCTGTTTGCTTTTCTGCTTTCCTGCCTTCTAACTCTTGCGTGTGCGCTGGCAATTAATTCCAATGTCTTTCCTCAGTTGATAAACGATAAATACTTATCACTTGCAGCTGTGAAAAATGCAAATATAAGGGCCTTAAGCCTCATGGAATCTGTCTTGTTTATTTTGAGATCAGAAATGTGAGTATATAAGAACTTGCCTTGGGGGCAGAAACAACCATCCATACAGTGCTCTTCACAAAACTGAGATCGTTCAGGATTAGTGCATGTGTCAGTGCAGGGAGAGCTGCACTCCGAATACTGCATGTTGTAAGGACATGTCTTGGCTGAAAGGTTAATAAAAGGAGAGTTTTTTTCAGTCTGAAGTATTTCTAGTTCACTGTATATGGAAATAAGTATGTTCATTTACATTTTTTCAGCTAGATTTAAAACCACACTAAACCACAGACCTATCCCCACTTGTAAAAATCTTTAACTTTACTCATTCAGATCTATGTTCTACAAATGAGATTTGCTTTTCATGACAGTGTGAAGAAAGACTTAACTGATGCCAAAATGACTGGAGTTCTAGGCACATCAAGAAAATGGTTCTGCAAAGCTAGCAAGGTTTCTGTTAAAGGTAGCCTTTTCAAGAACATCTGCATAGCTAGGGAAACGTAAGAATCAAGTTCCTAAAGCTTCAGTGTATTCAGATTTTTCAGATATCCCTTGGAACAGCAAATAGTATCCCAGTGGATTTTAATTTCAAACAAATGTTGGTGACAGTATCAACAGCTACACTAATAACGTGCAGGTGTTTAACTCAGTGAAAACTTCTGAAGATTACAGTGGTACAAACTACTCAAAACCAAGCTAGAGATTAAATGCTACACTAGCCTAAGACCAGTGAAGACTCAATTAATCAACAAGGGTAAAAAATATGGTAGCCACCATAAACAAAAAAGGGGAGAAACAGAAGTATAAGTAACCAAATCACTCTCCTTCTTTCTCCTTGTATTTGTTTCCTTTATTATCCCAATTCATTATATGACCCTTCAGCTCTTGAGTAAGTGTATCCATTTAACTGATAGTGTTTAAGCCACTCTGCATTAAAACACTTAGTTCTTTCTCCTTAGTCTTCTGGCTGGAGCTTATACATCAGAACCCTCACCACGCCTGTAATTTCCAATGCATACTCAGCATTATTTGAGAACTCATTTCTTTTTATTTACCCAGCACAAAATAAAGGCATCTCCACTAATACTTACGGCACAGTTTTGAGGTTCTCCAGTTCAAAGGTTCCCCACCAGCATGAGCGCACTGCCGGGAGTACTCAGCAATAGTATCACAGATACATGAGGCATTTTTTAACTCTTCAGAGCGGCACAAGTCTTCTCGGCAAGCCATAATGTACTCACTAACATTAACTAGGCCATTACAGTCTGCAAATGCAAAACTGGTCAATGTTTTCTGACATATGTCATCCTGGGGAGAAAAAAAAGACAAGAAAACTTTCAGAAAATAGAAAGTAGCAAATTTTTAGCATTGTTTCTTTGCTAGATTATGCTTTAATAGAATTTCATATCCCTCTTTACTTACTATTGCCCTAGGTCTTTTCCTGTTGATCCCTCTGAAGCTGTAGAACAATACAAATAAATGTGAAAGAAAAATTAAAGAATAATCAGAAAGATACTTACAAAGTCATATGTGCAATTATCTGGTGGGGAAGGAGTTGGGTCTTCACAGTACTCTGTCGGCCCATCCAACTTCTGCATATTCCCAAACTGTAAGGCTGTCATTCTGATATCTGTGCAAAAGAAATTTAATAATGAGGGTTGTGTGGGATTTTTTTGGTCAACACAACTTCCTAATATCTTTTCCTCTTGTCAAGAATTCTTTTCAAGATCAGCTAAGGCAGATAGTTCCCTTGAATTTTTTCATTTTATCATCATCCCTTCCAAAATAAACACTGACATCACTATCTGGAGAAAGAAGAACATTAGAAAAAAATTTTCAGCCTACTACATTTGGGCGTAAACTAAGATTTGAAAAACAGACTGTTTTCAGAAGATAATGAGTCCATGTAGGGAAGAGAGAAAATAATTAAAATAGGGATTTGTACAATGGAGACTGCTGAGAAACAAGGTTTAGGAAAACACTCAAATTGAGAATGGATAAAATAAGAGAGAATTATATATAGACTATGCATATAAAAAGGCAAATGTGGATATATTTTGTGGAATAGGATTAAATATTCAAAATTCTGACAGCATGTTTAATGGACTCATTAATATAGACAAAAGATCTATTTCCCAGGCTTTTCAAATCAGAATTGATATGTTACTATTAGAATTATTTTTATGACAGAACTGAAAAAACAAATGTATTGACTAGATATTACAACTACATTTTGTTTTACTGGATATATTTCAATATTTACGTTATCAGTGGGAAACTGGCTAACAACTTTAGGTATTAAATACACAATATGTTTTTTTATTATGTTTTTCAACATAGATTGAATCATAGCTTCTGAGTATATTCTTCAAAAGGATAGGAAAGTGGAATGATGGTGATGTTAGTGCTGAAAGATAGTAGAATACATGCTGACAATTCTAGAAACCAATTTCTGATATTTGAAAAACTTACTGTTTGAATAGAACTCATTGTAAACTGGAATGCCATTGAAGTCCCCACAGAGACCACAGGTCTGATTGGCATATTTCTCATGCAGTTCTAACTAAAACGATAGGCAATATGTTGACAAAAGTTAGTATACACATTGTAAAATATTTTCAGGATCATCAAAAACACTTGTACCTGCTGACCCTATTTTTCATCAGAACTATGTAATTTTATTTAGAATTTTAAGCTTGAATTTTAAGCTTATTTAGGATTTACGCTTGAGGGATAGAATGAAGAGTTGTCTTAGATTTGATTTACAACAAAAACTCCAAACCATTGGCGTAGACATAAATTTTCACTGCAATATCTGTAGAGCACCTAGCCTTTTTCTTTCCATTGTTCAGAAAGAAAATCAAATTCACAGCAAAAACGATGTCCTAAGAGAGAAAAATTCTGCCCAAAAATTGTATTAGAAGAGGTAAGTTAGACAGTGATGGTGTATGAAAACTGCTGAATCATGGCCTGAACCTCTGATTGATGACATGAGGCAAGCAATGAGTCAGCCACAGAGCACAGGTGAAGGCAATTCACCTGTGCTGCTGGAAGGGGTGGAGCCTGGCTCCACTTCTCCTAGACCCATTTAAGAGCTGGCTACCAGTGGAAATGGTTCTTTTCTAGAAATCCCTCCTCTGGAGTTTTGCAGTGAGCCCAGGATGTGGGTAAGCATTCTATGTATTCTCTTTTTGTTCTTGTAACTTGCTTATCCAAACTCTCTGGTTTAGTTCATAATTATAACATCTTTATATTCATTGATTATACAGATGGTAATATATTAATGTTAGTGAAAGTGGTTTTTCAACCTACTTTAAGCAGAAGCCTGCTATCAAAGAGGAGTAAATCCATGTAATTTTCTTTGGGACTACCTGAATACAAACCTACCTTTCTTAAGGAAAAGCTGCTCAACAGTATGCAATGGAAAGGCAACAGTAACTACTAAACAAGCATTAACTTAATCAAAGATTAGCTTTTTGGCTGATCTGAAGGTGCAGACAGGTCCAAGAGCTGTTCTTACCAAGATACTGTCACGCTGATTCCACATAAATACAATATCCGCTTTGCTGACAACTTTCACATAAATGCTGCTTCTCTCTATAGTAATTCCCGCTTGACTGTATGGCAGTTGAACTCTACAGAAAGGTAGAATTAATACTGAATATTTTCTGATCTAGATGTTTGATAAAGAGGAAAAAAAAAAAGGCTTGTGCATTCCAGTGTCTTACAAGGATATAATGCAGTTGTGTGCAAAGAAAAGTAATTAAAAAATAAAATGGTCCAGTGCCATCAAATGTGGATTTAAATTTGAATCCAACCTCAGGATTTTTCATAGAAATTTTGTTTTTGAGGTAATTTTTAAACAAACAATTGATTTATCGTGACATGAATTAATAGCAACTTATTAATTATTTCTATGGGTAAAATTATCAGACTTATTGAAGAATGCTGATCTTATTTCCCCAGTATACAAAAAGTGCTTGGCCAAGTTGGAAAAAAAAACCAAAACATCTGTATTTACCAAATGATATGAATAGACTCACTTGTTGCTGTTGATAAGGACAGTATCCTTTGTTAGCTCAATAGCTACACCTTCAAGTTTTATGGCAATGCGGTGGATTATAGGAACACTTTCCACCAGGGTACGCCTAATCTGGATGTTGAATTCTTCATAGGGAGTGTTGCAATGGGATGCGAAAACGTAATTACAGAGCCCAGGGTACTGGTAGATGTCTCCATCAAAAGTCTTGAAGTGGAAGTTGCCCCATGTGCTGCATACACGGCCATTGTGAGCAGGGTTGGAAGCTGGAAATTTAAAACTAGCTGTAAAAAATGCTTAAAATCCTAGCCTTAACATGGTGAATCAAATTATCTAAGGCACTCTGTCATAGTTTTCCCTTGACCACCTCCCTTTGTTATTTCCACCCATCTATCCATTATAACAAGTCACCATGTATTCATCCTTCATCATCTGTCTGCTGTTCATCACATATATACCTGTAAATGGTTGTAGTTAAGTTCAAGTAGATTATTTAGTTGTTCACATTTCATACAAGATAACAGTTCAACAATATGCTATGTTTCTTAACTGGCCTCTTTCTCCTCTTATGACTTCGTGACTTCTTTTGCCAGTGCATTTCCCTGTTTGTGCTAAATTCCTTCATATACATTTTCTAAAACTGAATACTTATTGAACACATTTCATTTACTTAACTTACGTGTTATTACTGGATTTGTTGATGTTTGCTGGATGATTTTCACTTCCGATGAAACTGTAAAAGAAGGGGAAAAAAAACTAAGAAAACCAAATCTAGTATAACAATTCCAAGACTTGCAGCTAAAACTGACCTGGAAAGAAAAGACCGGTGTGCTAATATGACAGTGTTAAGTTTGGTGTTGATTTATACAGGAAGTGAATCAGGTTAAAAGTCCACATTACACTTCATAATTCAATCATAAGAAATTGCTTTTAGCTGCGAGGATTTCCATTTTCTACCTTGTAGTTTTGATTTTTTTATGAAAATCCAAATTGTGTTAGCATAGGCAGAAACTTGCAGCTCTGCATATCAGAGCTCTTCAGACACAACAACCAATACAAAGAGTTAAGCTACACTAAATTAGCCTAGTACAAAAGCATAGCTGGTTTATGTTACATCTACTCTGACTAAGGAGGAAATTAAAAACTTAAAAATCAAAACTGTCCTATTCCTGTGTTCTGCTTCAATGATTATTTTTGTACCTCTAGTTAAATAGTTAGTAGCTCAACTACTCAATTGTCTTCCAGCTGAATTCTCCTTCTCTTTATTCTGTCTCCATAAGTTTTGAATTGCTTTCTACACATGACCCAAGTATCGTGCTTAGAAAAACACCTGATCCTGTGATCCAAGTTTGGTGCTCTAAGCTCCTGTTTTTCATAGGTAAACATGTCAGGCACTTCCCATTTAAGAAAAATGGCTACGACTTTATTTTATGAAAGACTGAATTTATCCAGAATGAAATAACCATGCCTGGAAAATGTTGACTAATACCAACCTACAACATGTCAAGTCTAAATCCTCAGAGGATTTAGGTGATGAAATGACTCATGTCTGAATGAGCACTTCTGGTGTCTAAAGTACTTGCCAGTTGAAGTGCTGCCTGTGCAATTTAGTTCTAAGTTCCCTTTCTCATTATATAACAGACAGACAGATCCAGAAACTCAGAACTAGAGAACTCAGAACCACCACACCAAACAAGGAAGGATTTTTACTGGAAATGCACACCATGTAAGCAAACTGAGTACTTAATCTCAGAGCTGAAGGGATTCAAACTTGCACTCCCAAAGAGAAACCCAAGACATTCCTAATTTTGGAAGGGTGTTCTGGGAAGCTTCACCATCTCTAGAAGTTGTTCCAGTGTCTGCAGGAGTTTCCTTTCATCCCTAAGCTTCTGTTCTGTTCTCATTTATACATGACCATTCATGACGTATGAAGAAGTAATTTTAATCTTTTTCTGCTTTCTGTTGGTCTTTCAGTATCACAGATACTATCATTAGATAAATACATTCATACAATTGTTGAGAAAATACAACAAATGCCACTGTGAGTCTTAATAATGTGACAATTTGCTTTCATTCAACACATTCACAGGAGCTTCAGTGGACACAGAATCATCCTGACTTCACCTAAGAGCCAATACTCTTTAAAATATAGTGAATGTTTATTTAAAAGTGTGAGAACTTTTGTAACAGAACAAAACAGTATATACATGTATTTTAGTCTGTTAATTTTTCTCAAGGAAATGCAGTGTTTTTTTTTACTAAGCAAGTATTATTTCCAAGGAAATTCTAGCTGCACTAGTTTATCTAGCATTATCTAGCAATTGCATAATGCCATGCTTTTGATCCTTATAAAAATAGGTGCTTATTGCTTCCAAGAATACCAATACATGGTAATTCGATCTTTAATTATTTGGAAAGAGTTATGGATATTTGTGGATGCACCTTCTCAAGCTGTTATCCAGCTGCCACCCCATATACACAATTCTCATTACAACTTATAGAAGTTGGAATTGGACCCTGAACAGGAAGTTAGAGAAGATGGCATGGGATAAGGCCAATATTTTGTAGTCAGTGAGAACATCTGAATACATTTTCCACCTAGTGTGACTTGAAAGAAGTCTTTGCTGGATTTGGTCTAACCACTACTCATTTTTCAAAGCAATTTATTGCGCTGGCATTGCACAATACAAATAACTTCCTTGTACAAAGAAGGGCTGAGGATATTTTGATTGACACTATGTAACTCTAAACGTAAGATTACACCTGTAGGTGAATTGTACTTTTGTGCTTAAATCAACTTAGCAGTATTTTAGTGCTTATTTCATGTAACATAAAGTAACCTAAAATTGTATTCACACTTGTTAGTGTTTGGAAAGTGATACACAAGATAAATTGAAAAGCAATCTGAAGATTTTAAAATGATAGCTGACAGGACAGTAATTACTGTACACCTATGGGACTGAGTTAGCAAGCTTGTGTTCATGCAAGTAATTTCTATCTGCATAGTCCGATTGGACATGACTGAATATTAACAATCTGCCAAGATTGTCCTCAATTAATGTAATGCAAGCAAGAGAAAAAAAATGCACAAAATGATGGATTGCAGTGTAACAGATTAACCTCCCAGTGATTTTCATAGTGAAGATCAACAATTTATGTAAATAATAAATATTATATCTAATGTAGTATCAGTATACATTCATTACCAAAAATCATTGTCACATGAATAATTCTAATCTTTTTTTGCAAAGGAATTGGCAAGAGTAATCTAGTATGAAGTTCTAGTAGGTGACAAAATACTGGAAAAGACTGACCTGTTACCTGATCTAGCAACTGGAAAAGTAGTGCTTTAAATTTCATGAAAAGATCAGAACATTTGTAATCATTCTTACTATAAAATGCAAAGGAAACGAAATGCTTTTGTAAGGCATAAGTATTACTGAACATCTGGTACTTTAAGACATGAATAATGGTTCCTTTTTGATTTGGTTTTCAAGACTACTTATCAAGTGAGGTTATATTCAGTGGCCTGGGGCAATGTGAAATCAAATCAATCCAGTTAATTTAATTTTAATTACATTTTATTTAACGCAAGTTAAAAAAAAATGCAAAAACAGACTTAGTTCTATCAAAGACAAAGTTCTATTTAAGTGCAACCATTTGCTAAGTGAAACAATAAAATGGGTTTAGTTGCTTAAAATATATTATTAGGTCTAAGCAATAATAAAAGAGTTAACTCCTTACCTATCTGATGGGTGCAGCAAAGTGCTAAAAGGAAAGCCCATTCTCGTAACCATATCCTCCTACCAAACTCCATTTTGAGTGGAGTCTGGCAGAAGGGTGCCAGTGTAAGGTTGGTCAGGAAGAGTAGTTCACCTATGCTCCCCCAGTCTTATATAGCAGGTGTCTTTGGCTTCAGTCCCAGATGGATTCAGATAATCCAGAAAGGTGGGGTTTGGGGGATTTTAGCAAATGAATAGGTAAACAGAGGATGCTTTTCTTTCCTCTGCAACTGGCCAATGGTATTTGCATTTTGGGAGGAGTATATGCATATACGTACATATATTTTGTTAAAGTTCAGCCTAATAAAGAAATAAACTGCAAATAAAATGAGTCTTCCACAAAAGAAAAAGTCCTAGAACAAATAAAATTTGATGTTGTCTTACAGTTACAGTTACGCATGTGGCACAGAAGTAACCAGAAGTTTTTCAATACTGTAAATGATGCCAGCTGCTCCTTGGCAAAAGAAAACATAAAACCAAAAGTTTGCTGATTTCTGAAATTGGAGGAGATCTGGAGTATTTCAAATGGGAGGGACACAGTACTATGAAGTCACTTTGTGCCGTTCAGGGCAGCAAATCTCACAAAAAGAACAGACTAACAACTTTGAAGGGTACTGCACTGTCACAGTGTCATACCGAGTGTATGCCATGAAAACCTCTGACTGATAAGCATTAGGCACCCTTTTAAGGAACATTTATTAAGTCAGCTTTCCCTGGACTATATTCTGGTTTTGTTAGAGATGGGTTCAGACCTTGACATCTACTTCTGAATTTGCTGCAGTCTGATTTTTTTATTTTTTTATTTTTATTTTTTACCTTCTCACAGAAAACACCGGTAACTTTACAGTCAGATAGCCTTACCACAGCTTTGTAGGAGAGAAAAGTTCAACAGATAAAGGCCTGCAACCACATTCATTACCATTCCTGTGTAATTTCATTCCTATCTATGGGGAAATGAGCCCCTACGCGTTAGGGAAACAGACAATAAATCAGGCCTATTAGGCCCACCAGTTAATGTTTAACACTTTTTTTCCCCCCAAATGTTGACTTTTTGCAGTTCTATGGTGTTAACATTTCAAAAGTGTGAATGAACGTATACTTCAATAAACAGTCCAGCTATTTTGTGTCCCCCTCTTTTTTAGCTTGACATTAAAGGTAGGTAGGATAAGTTGCTCTGGGCAGATTTCTCATTGTCTTTTCAATGTCAACAGACCTTACCTTAACATGGTTAAATATGGACAAAAAGTTTAAAGCTCTTTTAAACTGCTGTTTGGCAAAAAAAAATTAGTGCACAGCCCAGTGCTTGGTGTATAGGTAACATTTGTCCTCAGTCCATCTTCAGTCTACTGATGCAAGAACGTAGGTAGCTGATGGAACAAAAATCTTCTTCATGAGAGAGCTGCTGCACAGTGAGCAATTTAGCAAAAGGTGTCTGGGAGATAGAATTGGGGCGGCTGTGTGTGGTCCCACAGGAGAAAAAAAGCAGCTAGAATAAAATCAATGCGTGCTAGGATGTCTAGAAATTGCAGAAAGTGCTTCCTTAGTATGGGGTAGTATTGTTCTCTGTGCCTGGTCAGACTGAGTTCAGCAGTCTTTATTGATTTTTTTTTTTTTTTTTTTCACTTTTGTTGAAGCAGAGGGAAAAGAAAAATTTGAGGTGTCCTAATTGCAAAAAGTGAACATAGCTGGATGCCTAATTCCTGTGGATTCTTATGGAAATCCTGTCCTACAATTATAAATTCAAAAGAATCCTAAAAGAATAGAGGACTACAATCTCATACTCCATTTAGGATCTTACTGAACTGAATTGTCAATTTTTTCAGCCCCTATTTCCATTTATGTTTAAAACTAAATATATTGGATCCTTATTATTATAAAATAAACCCCAAAATGTGGAGTAATTATGGAGTATTATCTGGACTTTTGGAATGAAATCAGTGGTAGCTTACTATGTATAGCTTAGGGTACTTATGTCAACATACTAGCCTGATGCAGAATGGAACATGTTCCCTATCGAAATATCCAGGATGTTTAATGAAGTTACATCTTCATAATCAGTAGTAAGCTGTTTACACATCCTAGATTTATATCTTCATGCTTCAGCAGATAGGGAGAAAAGAAAAGACTGGACTTCCTGCCCATACAATGTTGTTTTATTTTGTGCCAGCACTCATAATGAAAGTAAATTCATCTGTACATACAGAAAGCAAATTATATCTTATTTACGTGACCAGTTAGATTATTAAATAAATATTCAAATGTCTCACTTATTTAAACAGGCTACCCACCAAACTAAGCTTTCAGCAACTACTGTGCATATACCTGTGCATATGCAATGGGCTACACGTGATCCTCAGAGGCAGCAGAGGTTTTCTTCTGCCAAACTTGCTGTCTTATGCATAACTGAGATGTGGATCCTCTTCTTTTTAATTTCTGAAAGTTAATTACAAAAACTATTCCACTAAAGCAGACTCTAACTGCCTCAAAGCAGAGATTTACAGGCATTAGACACTGACTCAGAAGGAAAAAAAAAAAATGAAAAGTGCATTATTAATTAATGAATAGGATATTTTATTTAAAAGCATGGGAGATGGTGGTTTTTAAGGAAAGGAATTTCCAGAAGTGACTTAGATCCCTGTTCTTCAGCAGGTAACAATTAAGAGTTATTAAGTGGCATTAAAACCCACTGTAGTAGAAAGGATGGGAATCATCATGTCTTTCTAACATGATGACAAAACCACTTATAAATATAGGGCAGGCGCTATATTCTGTGTTTTGTACACTTAAAAAAAATCAACTCAAAATAAATGGAATAAAAATACTGTAAGATCAGAGGTGGAACACATATCCATTTTCATATTTATTTTGCAACGATGTGGCCCAGTAAGAGTTAAAGACAGAAAAGCTAACTTGCAAAGTAACAGTGAATGTTGTGCATTTTACCCACTTAGTAAGACCTCACAGTGAAGGAGCAAGACCTTGCTTCCTTTCTCAGTTGCACTCACCTCTGCCTGAGGGGGAAAACAGAGTATCAGGTTCTTCTCATATTACTTCAAAACATTTGGAAAGAGTTTCTTGCTTCCCACCGGGTATAACAGAGAAAGGCACTGCTGGTAAAGGGAGGAGTTTTCTGAGGGCAGAATTAGTGCTTTTGCTACTCATGTGAGGAAGGTGAGGGGGGTGCCTGTACCTAGGATGACTTCCTAGGTGCGTTGGTAGAGTCAAGGCCAGATTTGTCATTTGCCCTGTCTCCTTTGCTGGAATTGCTGCTAAGCAGTGTTAATATCAAATTATTTCTATTTCTAAGATCTTGGTTTTCAGTCATTATACCTCTTTGTGACTAGAAGGTGACACTTGTCAACCTTGAATACGCAACCTCACCTAAGAATTTACAAGTGCACACTGTATAGCTGCACTGAGAATTGTCCTAGTTGTATCTGCAGGTGTTCTTCAAAGATGCTACTCGGATATTTTACTGAAATGGTTATGATTGCTACTGCTCAGACTGAAATTTCTGATCTACAAGGAGTAGTGGCATTCAAATGGCATTCCAGTGTTCAGCTTATCCAACAACACAGGTTCTTTCTCTTCCTCTATCTCAAGGAGTAGGTGCAATTAACAATAAGAAAGCAAGTATAAAAGAAACTCGGGTCACTTGATGAAGTGGCTTATGAAATTTTGAAAGTTATCAGACTATATATGATATAAATATGATCTGATTGATTGCTGGAAGAATCTTATCTGTACATAGACTTGATATTATCACAAAAAACAAAGATTTAATTTTAGGTATTCATTGGTCAAATGGGCAGTTTCTCCAAGTGGTTCCTGTAGATTAAAGAAACAGAAGTTGAAGGACTTCAGTATCCCAGGGTGTTGAAAAGAAGTTACCTATGCAGGCAGGGAGAAGCAAACTCACTTCTCCAGCTGTGTAAGGGGAAAGAAACCCCAGAAGCAAGTTTATACAGTGTTTTAATTACTTAAGCAGCTGTCTTTACTGTTAATATATACCAGGGATCCATTAAAGGGACACCATTTTCCTGGTGCATGGCACAAAAACAAACCACTTTTGTTTGCAGGAGGAAATGTTCACGGAGGCATTAAAAGCATTTTTATTTTTTTTTCTTTCCTGTTTTTTTTGTCAATTTTTCTGTTTATAATGCTGTGCAAAACCCCAAACCTTATCCTCACATCTCAGTCCCGAATACCACGGAAATTAAATATAGGATAGATCTATAAAATTGGAATAGATGAGTTTGTTCATAGGAGGTTAATGGAGATGAATGACAAAAGCCAAGGATCTGGCTGATGAATATTCTTCTATTTTCTTTTAATCTTGTATGGAAAACCTCTAACAACTGATAGCCAATGATACCAGTTATAATGGAAAATCTGAAATAATCACAGAAGCACAGAATGGCTTAGGCTGAAGGCAACCTTAAAGATTACCTAATTTCAAACCCCCTACTATGGTCAGGGCTGCAACCCACCCTACCTGACCGCCCAGGCCTCCATCCAACCTGGCAACTTGGCCTTGAATGTCTCCAGGGATGGGGCATCCACAGCTTCTCTGGGCAGCCTGTGCCGGAGCCTCACCACTCCCTGAGCAAAGAATTTTCTCCTGACATCTCACCTAAATCTCCCCTCTTAGTTTAAATGTGTTTCTAGATAAAAATACTAACATTGCAATCTGAAAATAGGCCACATAATGTATGAGTGGCAAAGGCAATTATTCAAAAGTTAGGAAGAGATAGTATTAAGACTATTAGTGAAACCACAATTCATTTTCCTTCTACGTTCAAATTACAACTCCACTAAGTGTTGAGAACTTTCACCTGCTCACAAGCATGACAAACTAGGGACAGCTGGGACCTGGATAACTGCATTGTGCTCCAGATCTCTGAAGTCCTGTCTTACCATGTGAACTGGGAAGAAGAATAAACAGCTGTGTAAGAAGACAGGAATATTTACTTTGGAAAGCAACGTAAAGTAATGATAGAAAGTTTGCAATTAACATAAAACAACATTGGCATTA